TGGATGAGTGTAAAACCAATGTTCTCCCATATAACTGTAACTCAATTCATAATAAAAACTTAAAAAAACCAACCCTATATGTGAGAAATATATAAGGATATTATTTCATTAAAACTTCAATATTTCTTTTTTTTTTTTTATGGTTTTGCTTGGCACAGTTAGCTCCTTTGTTTGGGTAAACTGAGTGAATTTGTTTGGGGGTAGGGTGTGAGACATGGATCCAGTTTCATTTTTCTGCATGTGGAAATCCAGTTTTCCCAGCACCATTTATTGAAGAGACTCTTTGTTCCCCCATCAGAAAGACTTAGCACCCTTATCAAAATTCAACTGACCACAGATGTGTGAGTTTATTTGCGGATTCTCAACTCTATCCACTGGTCTGTGAGTCTGCTGTTATACCAGTACCAGGCTGTTTTGATTACTATAACTCTATAGTATGTTTTAGAATCAGGAAGTACATGTGTCCTCCTATGTATTCTTCTCTTTCAATTCCAGAAAGCCATGTGTCCGTGTGTATACAATGTATGTGTGTACACACAAAGGCACAAACACACATGGACACACACCCATACACCTGTCCACTGTTTCCCTCGTGTCTTCAGTTCTCAGTACTCTTCTTTCTTCTGCACAGGGGGAGACCAATGAGTGCACCTCAGGTGGCTGTTCATGTCCCAGTCACTAGTCAGTCACACCAAACAGCATACAGAACACTGTCTGTGTGGACGATGGTAAGCCAAGTGACCGCATGGTTTTCCCTAAGACTAGGATCCTGAGCCTCCAAATCCAGAAACTCATTCCCCTCGAGATGTTTTGTAATGTTTGAGAAGTTTACATAATCATGCCCATGTAGGCCACCACAAGGTGTGACCTCCCAGAAGTTTACATAATCATGCCCATGTAGGCCACCACAAGGTGTGACCTTCCAGAAGTTTACATAATCATGCCTGTGTACGCCACCACACGGTGTGACCTTCCAGAAGTTTACATAATCATGCCTGTGTACGCCACCACACGGTGTGACCTCCCAGAAGTTTACATAATCATGCCCGAGTACGCAACACATGCTGTGACCTCCCAGAAGCAGGTCCCCAGGTCTTTCCTCTGTGGCACCTCGGTGAGTTGAAACCACCGACCTTTCAGTCAGTAGCAGAGCGCACAGCCACTTGCGCCATGAGGTCAGTGACGTAATTATCAGTGAGAAGAAAAGTGAAGCCAAGTGCGGTGGAACCTTTGGCTGTGGATCATCAGAACGCAATGGGCAGAAATGGCGCTTACTAATTTTTCTTAAAGAATTGAAGTTTCTTTCATATTTATAATGAAACCTCAAGCACTGAGAAATTAGCCTGCAATAACTATAAAGTACTAGTAAGAGGGATTCATAATAGCTCTGGAGAAAATTAATATTTCATAGTGATTCATACAACATTTATTTTGTTTGAAATCTATGAGACAGCAGATTCTCTGTAATCCAATGCCAACTTTCAGAGGTATTAACACTGGATCAAGATTATACAATGTGTGGCACTTGGGAATTACCAATGTGTCAGGAAATTACCTCAAATCACCACTACCTTGTCAGTTGTCCCTAAGAGCCTCATGCATCTCTGACAACCAATCTGCCAGAGTTAGAAGCAGAATCTATTTACAAGTGGGTTCGGGGCCACTTCCCCCAGCTGCCTGAGGGAACTTTCCTGGGCACGCCCCTGAGTGGCCACCTGCATTGTGATGTCACCCCGAGAGCCTCAGAGACTGTCTATGAGTTTCTCCATCTGCAATGGTCCTTCCCTGCTTGCCATACACTTCCCATGCCCAGCTGCTGCCTTCCTGCCTCACTCCTGATTGTGGGAGTCTTGCCTTTGTTTTCTGAGCCATAAAAGGGCCACTACTTGGAGGTTTGTAGTGTAGTGGTTACAAATTGGGCTGCAAACCTCAAGGTCAACAGTTGGAAACTACCAGCTGTTCTGCAGGAGAAAGATGAGGTTTTCTGTTTCCATAAAGATTTACAGCCTCGGAAACCCTATACAGGGTCGCTATAAGTTGGTAACAACTCCACGGCATATAACCACCACCACTTGGAGGTAAAACTTCAAAAATTCATCAAGGCATCTACGATTTCCCTCACTCAATTGATCTGTTTGTCCTGTTTAAGACTTGTAAAGTCCTAGTGTGGCTCTGTAGGATAAGCATTTGACTGCTAACTACAAAGTTGGTGGTTCCAACCAATCGACTGCTCCTCAGAAGCCCTGTACAGGGTCACTATGAGTTAGAAGACACTCAACAATACTGCATAACAATAATAATAATAACTTAGAAGGTTGGTAACTCTGGAGTCCTGATGTGGTGCACTGGAGTAAGCACTGGACTACTAACTGCAAGGTCGGTGGTTCAAACCCACCAGCCACTCCTTAAAAACCCTATACAGGATCACTACAATTTGGAACTTAACAACAACAACAACAATATATACATTTTTTAAAATCACCGCCATATTGGTTTTCAGTCCCACCCCGACCCCCATACTACTAACCAGGAACCAGGTCCCCATTAGAACCTCTGGGCAACAGAGGCCATGGCGGTATCATCACAGCGTTGCCCTGTGGGTGAGGCTAACCTTGCCTACTTAAAGGCATGTGAGCCCCCACGAGACATTAGCAGCTTGCCTATGGTAAGCACTCAGATTTGAGCATTTTGCATGAAACAAAAATAAAGAGCTCTGGGTCTTAAATCAAATTTATAACAAAAAGAAACAAATCAAACATTCATTATGTATAAATTCAGAACGTTTTCCTCAGAGCCAAGTTACACTTGTCTAGAAAATTAAAATACAAGCATCCCACACCACCTTCCTTCCTTCCAGGTCTGTAAAATGGGGACAATGATGAAGATTTACTGTGTACATTTGTGACAAGCTTAACAGTCACGCTCCAGGTCAACAGTTCAAACTCACCAGCCGCTCCTCAGAAATCCTATACAAGGTCACTGTGAGTCGGAACCAACTTGGCAACACTCCACAACCACAACAAGTGGCATGGTGGGTTGCCTGTTCAGCTGCTAACCGCGAAGTTGGCAGTTCATACCTACCAGCCTCTCCTCAGGAGAAAAGGTTGGCAGTTCATAC